AAGTGTTGATGAAACAAACAAAAAATGGCAAAATTTTGGTTGCTTAGCATATCGGTTGCTATGGCAACCGATGACCAGTTTTACCTCTTCTGAATATCTATGATTTTAAGCTGAAAAAGGCTATTTGTCAACATAATTTTTCATAACAAATAATTAAGAGAATGAATATTGTTTTATGATTTTATTAAATATATGCATTTTATTAATGTAATTTAATAACTGATATTTTCATATTCCATTTCAATCATAATCACATATACCCCCCTTTTTATGTGGTTTGCATTAGGTAAAAAATACCCTTTTGAGGTCATTTTTGAATGCTCACCATAATTGTTTGCGGACACCTGAGTTTAAGTCAACCATGAATTCATAAATATCATAGTCTTATCTTATCAATGATGCGAAAAAGTAATGGGGAAGTATGTCTCAATATTTTGTTACCATGGATACAAAATGCTTAGTTTTCATTTTTTCAGAAAATTTTTTTTTTTTAAATTTTGAAAAAAAATGTTTTAAAACCTAATTCTGCAGTCAGAAAATTATAAATAAATATACAATATGTAGAAATTATTGTAATCATCAAAATTTTAAACATATTCATATATAACGGTATTATAGTTTTAACTGTGTTGCTATGGAAACAATTTCATTTTGATACACAAGTTTAAAAACAATTTTGAAAAAAGTTTCAGTTAGTTTCTTAAATGTGCACAAAAGTAGGAAAACTAAAACACTTATTACATTTCACTGTATACACACATGTGTATATATAAATGATTTTGCTAGTATAGTATTTCGATAATGGTGTTGCCACTTGAAGGAAACAAACACAATTTCTCTATTCTGGATGAAAGTGCTGATTATAAAGAAATTTCAGTCTGTTTTCATGATCATGAAAAATATACAAGAAAAACAATTACTCAATCTAGAAAAAAACAAATAAAATCATTTAAAAAATTACATATTCAATTGTACAATATTTGCCATTGAATGTGTTGCCATGGAAACAAGTAGTTCATTTGCAAAAATACGGATAAGTACTAATTTTTACAAATGTGTTTTAATGAACTTCGATACATATAACAATGAATGTATACAGTTTTGCTTACATAAGCAGGTTTTATTGTATTTGAGAAATATTAATAATATTCCAAGCATTATAAGTGATAGTGTTGCCATAGAAACAACAAATTACATGTATATGCATAAACTTGGAAAACGCTTGAAAATAGACTAAATCTCTCATACAAAAACTCTCTTCTGTAAGTTTTCAATTTAATGCAGTGTTAAAGAATGATGGCTTTTACAAGTCAGTACATCAACTAGTATTCAAATGCTGTAGTGAAGATTAAAGATCAAAGTGCCACTTGGTGTTGACAGTTTGGAATTTTAGCTACTATAGCTCCTAACTATTTATACATAATATTAAGAAGATACAATCAGAACATTGACAGTTCAAGAAAGGCCAAGCTTAAAATTGTTTGTGTGAGGCACAGAAATAAATACTTATCACAAATGAAAATAATCAATGGTCCACTGCTAGTCTACTGACCCAATATTAATTAAATTCAATAATTTGATACACTTCAACACAATAAAAAATAGAACAAAAAGAGTCAGACGTTGGTCCTCTAAGTAAATGATAATTGACCATCTAACCTTTCTTTCTATAAAGGAAAACATACCTATATTATGAGCTGTTTATTTTTCTTATTCATTATTAAACTCAATGTTGAAATGGCAAAGCATGTATAGCTATACGTTTTGAATATTATTGTATTATTGGATGATGAGTATCTACATGAAGATCATTTTTGAGGTGAAGTTGAAAAAAATAGACAATTTCAAAAAGGTCCGGCAATATGGGTAGGCTGGGATGAAGGCGGACAATTTGAAATATCACTGGAAATCGGGATCAATTGGACAAGGACAGAAATTTCAAAACGTCAACTTGGGTGCCCCTAAAAGAATTAACACAAGGGTTCTTTAGCAAACAAAGGGCGTAACCAACAAGGGCGGGTACTGTCGGCCGTTGACCCGATGGTCCCTGCTATCCATCCAAAACATTGCTTGTTTGCCGTTCTGGCCGGGGAGGAATTTTCGAGATTTTCCAAAAAGATTCGTTTCCCTACGAGGACCCGCGGAAAATCTGTCAGATTGTGGCTGCGGGTCTTAAAACGAGCAGTGGGGGGAAATATACCATCTGGACAATTTTCATATAAGGGGTCCAACTGTCTGTCTAAAGTGATGGCCCGCTACATTTATGCTTCAGTGATCCATATGTAATCAACCAAATATTTCCAATAAATAAGGAGGGGACGGGCCCTCAGGGCCCCTGGATCCGCCTATGGTAGCACTATCTTAACATTATTATTAGGCATTGGATTATTGAAATTTCAGAAAATAACAATTATCTTTATGGATTTTTAGCAGCAAATTAAAAAATATTGACCATAAATTATGATAACTCTTTACCGTGAAAGGGTAACTTTAAAAGAATTATATACATGTACATATAATTTGATTTTCACTTAACATGCTGAAAGCCCATTACAGAAAGATGTTTCTCAAAATTAGGAAATTGTCTTTCTTTTAACAAAAAAAAAATAGATTTTACTTTGAAACAGGACTCAATGTTTATAACATATAATACATGTGACTTTTTGTCCTTGACTTTTTGTCTGTGACTTTCTGTCCTATATTCTGACCGTTATCAAGACCAGGAAAAATGACTTTATACTTATTTATATGTAATAGGCTTTGCATCAAATTTATAGAAACACTTAGATTGAACCATTAATTTTATCAAATAAGAAAATATAAAATGCTTTTCAAACATATTAGCAAACGATAAATGTATTGACTTTCGAGAACATTTGGCATACCTCATGTTAAGTCGTTGAATATGTTTACTTATATTTTATCAAAATATTTTAAACTACCAAGATATCGTACATGCAGGGGCTCGGGCATACCTCAAGTAGTCCGCGAAATGTTTATTTTTTTTATGAAAATATTTAAAACTACCAAGATATCCTACACAAGGCTCGGGCATGCCTCAATAATTATTTACTGTTATGAAAATATTAAAAAAACAATTATATTGGATTTATCAACTTACATGTATTTTTGGCCTACTTCACACCTTTTGTGTGTTACTTTATATTTGTGATCAAACGTGTCAAATTATAACCGGTAATACACACAACATAATTTACAAATTAACACAGTAAAATACAATATACTACTCAATACCATAAAAAGTTTAAATAACCTGGTGCCCGTCACAGTACCCTAAACTGTTTTTCCCAGTTTTTTTTATTTTTTGATAAAGACTTTACCATTCAATCTTAATGGGGTTTTTATATAAATTTTAAGCAACTCCTATAAGATATAAATAAGTATTAGGTAGTACAACGACTAGGACACAGTCAACGTTGGTCAGGTCAAGTTTTTTTTTACCCAAAAACATATATTTTCCCCCTTTTTTTTAATGATATAAAATAACACAGAAATTTTCATCGGTTAGGTCATTGCTGTTGTTGGTCAGGTCATTGTCAACGTTAGAAGGGTCACGTTTTCGGAATTTTTCGGAATTTTTTAATATTTTTTTCTATATTTTTTCATATAGTTATATATTAAATGATCAAATTTTATTATATTTCAAATTTAACATAAATCCTTTAAGAAATAAAAAAGTAATGAGCATTTTCATTTGGTCCTGTCATTGTCAGCGTTAGTCAGGTCACGTTTTATGAAGATATAAAAGTTTTCTATATATTTTCTTATATTTATGTATTAAATGGACTAAATTTATAGCAATTCAAATTTGACAATATTGAGGAATATTGCACAATGACCATTTTTTAGAAATTAATTTCAGATGTTTCTAGGTAGATTCCCCATAACTTTTTTTGATTTTTGATAAAAACAAGGCTGAAATTAATTGTTTTTGTGTTTCTTTTTAATAGATGTAGCCGCATAATTTCACAACACTACACCAATTTATTGTATTTTTCTCAAAATTCCCAACTTTCTCCGCTGTTACCATGGTAACCAACCAATATATATAGCGGTTGGCATTATTTTTCTGACTAGGCTAATAGGATATACATATCAGCCAATTTTCAAAAAGATCGGTGACTATGTGTGCCGAAAAAGTTTAAGTGGTTACAGAGAATGAGTATTAATCAATCAATAATATGTTGCAAATTGAAAAATTAACGTAAGATAAGAATTTACATTAATTGTGCGTACAACAAACTCAACAATCTGACCTTAGATATATTCAGTTACTTCCTAGCAGACCGTGCATTCAGAATATTATGAGGAGTGCTATGGCTGTTACAATTGATATGCCGTGTAATCGAATTAGGACATGTGCGTTACATTGAACTGTGCATGAACTGTCACAAGTCTTGCCTTCCTCTGATAACGCGATTTAACGGTCAAGCCCTTTAAATCGAATTATTGTTTAATTCCATATTCCGAGAGAGTACCGAGAGAAATATATGTAATGACAATTATTTACCAAAACCAGTTTTACATTAAACGATTTTAACATAATTATACACGTTAAAGCACGCGACGTTTTGCGCGGTGAATATACTTTTCCGCAGGTGAATATGCTTATTTATTCGAAATCCCATTCATATAGAAAAACCTACTAAACTTCTATCAATAGGGAATAACATCAAATATCAAAACATAACCGATTAGTAACAGTATTGTGTTGTAAATATACATATCATATACTGATTCTTTTCAGATTGTTTCTTTAAAATTTAGGTACTGAATGTTTCTTATGCAATTGACTGCGTTTCAAGAGCTTAATTGAGGAATATTGAATAAGAGCACAAAAAAAAAACATGAACACCATGAGACCTACACAATTGATATCAACGTTACTAACATGATTGTTCCTCATGTTCGTCAGGAACTTTATGAATTATCAAAATATTGACCTTCTTTTTCAGACTGAGTGGTCAGTACGTGACAATTGCTATTGCTGGATTTCCAGTAAGTAAGTTTTAGATTAAAACATGACACAATGAAAGGTACGTTTTCAGGCTTATTTGGCCCTGAAAAACCACCGGAAATAAAAAGAAATGCAGTCAATTAAGGCGACAGTTGTTTATTTATGTTCAAATTTTGTAAAACGTTTAAAGTGTCGACATCAGTCGCCCTTCGTCATAACTCTGTTGCAGAAGTCTTTGTGTAAGGATCACACTTAGAGTGTGAATGTCCCTTTGGTATCTTTCGCCTCTCTTTTGAGATATGTAAACGCCATACTATGGACAACAGAGTATGTGACTACTGAGAAATTTGAAGTTGGTTATATTTATTAGTTTTGAATATTCCTTTGGTATCTTTCGCATCTGTATTGTCATTGATTCTAGTTTGAAGTGAATCTGTGTCAAAATCGAGGAAGAGATCAAGATATGAAGCAGACCTATTTTTGGTAGTATCCTTATTCTCAAATTTACTGGGATATTTGAGACGTACATGCGTAAGCACTCATAAAAGTAATGTCTAAAGGGATATTTTCAGTCTTTAGCAAAAATTGTCTCCGAACACAAACATGTTGGTTACATTAACATAGAGCACAAATGTCCGTTAGATTAGCGTTTGCTATTAAAAAGTTGAACATAAAAAAACTTTTTAAATATCTTTTTGAACGATTGCTGTGTTCTATAACATTTCAAAGCATGTGCAAGTCAAATAGTCACAACAAAGAATTATTTCGCCATTCTGCTGAATGTCCTGTTATTCTTTGGCTGTTTAAGCCTAGAAAGGAGTATATTTCTAACTATAAAAACAATGATTTATTGAAGTAGAAAGATTTAACATTTGATGCTGCAACAACAAGTCTTAAAATATATTTAATTTAGATCAAATTTAGTCCCGTGTCACACATCTCTTTTATTTGTGAAATATTGTTCCTTTTCATGAACAATGCGCCACGCGCGTTTTTCCTCTACATAAGACTTATCAGTGGCACTCGAAACAGCTATATAACTAGTCTATAAAAACATTTAAACAGCAATGAAGATAAAGCCAAATTTGTCAAAGGTTTACATATGGCTAGGGAAGACAAACGTTTGTGTTTCGAATGATTTGACATGTTTCTTACAGTAAATGTATATATTAAATAGTATGACCTTTTATTACAATGGAAAATAACAAACCACAATATGTGTCATTTTTGTAACCAATAAGAGAACTATCAATTATTTTTTTAATTGATCATATTTGACAGAATTTTGGCAACAAGTCTACGATCTCTTAACACAAAGTAATATAGATTGTGTAATCACAGTACAACACGTAATATTTAGATACAAAATCATAGACAACAAGTATTACTTCATTAATTTGTTACTTAAAATAAGATTTTTTTATAAATAAGTCATATTATGTATCTGAGCCGAAACAAAAAATGTTGATGTCTACAGAATTTACACATTGTTGTTAATAACAAGTATGATTTTATTGTTATTGATACTTCATGTCAACATAAGTGCTGACTGCTGGGCTGGTAATAACATCGAGAACAAATCGTCTTCTCAAATTGGCATCGACTTAGTCGTTTTAAAAACTCATGAAAGATACCAGTCCTTTTATTTGATGTGCCAGACGTGCGTTTTGTCTACATAACTGTCATCATTGTCATTCGAAACAAATCAAAATTGGAGAATCAAATCAATAGAGGGTTTGAGATCTAACAAAAAACATGTTTAACCTGGCCGCATTTTAGCGCCTGTCCCAATTTAGGAACCTTCTAGCTATTATAATTATGGTGTTTTTTGGATTTTTTTTTTTTTTTTTTTTTGGTTTATTTGTATGTTTCAGAGTTTAGTGTGTCGTCTTTTTCACTGAACAAGTATACATTATTATTTGGGGGCCAGCTGAAGCCCGCTTCAATGTGCGGTATGTCTCGCTGCGTTGATGATCTTTTGGTGGCCTTGGGCTGTTTTCTGCTCTTTGGTCGGGTTGTTGCCTCTTTGACATATTCTCAGTTTTCAATCTCTATTTTATTAAATGGCCAATTTATCATGACAAAGAAACCTTAAGAACTGAAATGTATTCAGGTATGAGGTTTGGGCGCCCACAAACATGTTAAACGCCGCCACATTCTGTCTCAAATCAGGAGCTTTTCATTGAGTGGATGTTTGTTGATTTTTATCCAATTTGTTTTTCGATTATTGTTTTGTACAGTTTGTTATTTTGCATTTTTGTTGTACTACTGTCCCAAGTGAGGGGAAATGATTAGGCGACCGTTAAAATGTTTATTCCCGCCACGTTGAGAATATGCCTGTCCAAAGTCAGGAACCTGTTATTCAGTGGTTGTTTTTTTATGCTGCATAATATCTTTGTTTTCTGTTTATTGTTTTTTCATAAATCAGGATGTTATTTCACCTTTAAATTGCATGCATGTTTTACATTTGTTATTTCGAGGCCTTTATAAGCTTGCAGTGAGGTATTGGTTTTTCTCAATGTTGTAGGCCGTATAGTGACCTATAGTTGCTTACTTCTTCGTCATTTAGTCTCTAGTGGAGAGTTGTCTCATTGGCAATCATACCACATCTTTTTATTTGTATATAACTGTTAATAAAGTAATGCCACATATTGAAATTTGAAAAGAAATTAGTTTAGTTCTATATCTATATCAAAATGTAATTATATTTACATAACAAAATTGAAATGATTTTTCAGGGATGTGCAATAACATTTGCTCTCATGAGATATTTACAGTGCCAGGTGAGTTGTTTACAGCAGAAAGCTAGCCTTTAATATGTTATACATAGACTATACCATACAATAAAACAGACTACATCAACCACTATCATGTGACTCCTAATCAAAACAGTAATACAATGTAAACAAATACAAACAACAAAACAGACATCACAAGATCAAGATATGGTCTTGATGTGATACAGGCACAACATGTGGTTAGGTTAAAATTCTAAAATAGGACTCACCAAAAATAATATACAGAACATAAGATAACTACTATCCGATGTTTATAATGAAATACTTTAATTTATTGCTACATGTTATCTCTAAAATCATATCGTGTTGTTGATTCATATGTTTACATATATCAATGCTCGACATATCTTATTTTAATGCAATTGAATCAAATTTTGCAATTTTGTTAGCAGTCATTTCAGGAAGAAAACGAAGGATACCGAATTTTGTGTACATGAGAGTTCAACAAAAACTTCATTATGCACGTTCGAGGTTAAATGGTTGAACAGGCAATATAGAAAAGGAAAATATGAAAGCATAAAGCACACAGGACACACAAAAAACGACCAAACTATTTCTTATTCCGAGTACATAAAAGTTATTTTAACAGCGTCTAAAATCACATAAATACCATAATATGTGATATTATAACTGAGTTTCTATATATTGTTCATCTTTGTGTTGTCACTTTCACCTTCATTTTAAAAGTTTCCAACTATTACCACAGAACTTTCGGACTGGTAACATTATCACGAGATATTCATGGACAATTGAACGCGATAATCTACGTAAAACATTTATCATGAACCAACAACGTTTTGTAGGGAGCCGAAACGTATGCAATAGAACTATAATTTGATAATCATTATGAATTTTGTTGAAAATATTCAAGAACTGGAGCGTCAAACTTGATCCTTTGTTGAAGAGATTAAATTCGTTAAATTCACTATAACAATAGTAAAGCGTTTTATCTACAACATTAAAAGCCAAAAACGCCAGACCTTAATCCATTTACAATACCAAAGATGCTGTAGAATTTGTATTCCCCTTCGTGATAAAAACGTAGTTGTTCCAGCTGACAAGGAATCTAACACTATTGTTTGTGTAAAAAGGAAGGTCACAAAATAGAATACTGTGATATAGTTCTTTGACTACTGACTTTTACCAATTTTAAATTTTGAGGTGAACCTGATAGAAACTCTTTTTCAGAAATAGGACCATTGACCACATTTGACATATTCCATTTGAAAAACTGAAACCTCTTTCTCTGTATTTTGTTGCAAAATTGCAGTCAGCGATATAGATGATTTTTCTAAGATACAATTGGACTTATTTATAAAGTAGGGACTTATTTTTGCCTGCAACATTCTTGATACATTAGTGATAAAGTCAATAAGCATTGTATTTAAAATTACCAGAAGAAAAAGCAAAGAACTATCTATTCGCTTTTTCATTTTTATCGCTAATACAAAAAGTGTGCTGCATCAAGACAGCACGTGATTTGTATGGAATAAATAACATTTAAACGTCTTAAAGGAAATCATTTATATTATTACTTTTGTTGAAAATTTACTGTTTATGCAAGCTACTAAAATCTATACCTTATTAGATGGTTCTTGATCCAAGAGGGTTTCATTTTGCAGAATATTGTTATCCCTGGAGTTCTTTTACAGTTAATCGCAAACATCTTCAATGTTGTGTATCACCTGATTTTGGTAACTGGATTAGATCTAGGTGTCAGGTAACACATTTTATAGTTATTGCTTATCTATGATTCACCAAAACACGAGTGGAAGATTCTCGGTTACTTTTTCACCAAAAGGCGATGGACTTGTGATGAGAAATAACCGAGAACCTTCCTCGAGTTTGAAAGATCACTTCTAATATGTTCATCACACTTTTCCTAGGCAATTAATGCCAATACCTTTAAAGTTTGTCTTATGACGTTATCGCATTTTCAGTTTACTCTATCAGAAAACTCATTCGGAGTCGAGTGGATAGAGATGAAACTTATCACAAAAAAACATCAAAAGATAATTAAGGTAACTAGAGATGGGTGCAGTCCTATCTGCACAGCAAGATAACTGGATGACCAGACTTTATAACTGGTGAAAATTAACTTTGGACAGGATTTATGACTGCTCCGACCGGTCCTAGGACATAATTCATATTAATTTAATAGCAGACTAGGTCCTTGGACTGATGTTATGACTGCCCAAAAAATTAACTTTATGACAGGTCCAATATTAAAGTTAACTCTGGACGAAGTTAACTTTGCCAAAACCAGTCCTATACAAAGGTTTACTTGTGACCAGGTCCGGTATTTAAAGCAGTCATCGATCTAGACTGACCTGTTCTAATAAAAGTAAACTTTGGTTTGGTCTGCTCCAAGAGAAAGGTAGCATGATCCAAAGTTAATAAGTAAACAGTACCGCTTTGAATGATGAATATCATTTGAGTATCGACTTCCGGTCAGTGAAAACATAGGACCGATTAAAAAGCAGACCTTTTCCCATGACTGACATGACTGGTCTGTGAAATTGCAGACTTGTTCAAAGGACAGGTTAACATCAGACCTGTTCACAAGACTGGTATGGTCAAGCTGACCCTCCCATATATCTGGTCTAGTCAAGCTGACCTGTCCTCATGTCTGGTGTGCAGCAGTCTTAAATAAACAGACCAAAGTCTATTCTGATAAAGATAAAGTAAACTTGCAGGTCTGCTAAAATTTTCGGTTAATTTAGAGAGCAGTCATAAGGTCTGCTCAAAGTATATTTTCGAACAGGTTATGACTGCACCCATTTGTAGCGATAAATCAGGTTGTTAATTAATTTGCATAATCTTAATGCCAATGTGCTCACAATTTATAAAGTGTTTTTCATTTTATTAATTCACTTTCTCGACATCTGATCAAGATCAAATGAAAGTTTACTGTTTTGAAATGCGTGTGATTTTTTGCGGCCATGAAAGAGATTGACCAGTTTATTGTTATACTGCCTTTCACATATACTAGGGATGACAATTAGAGTATTGATAGGTCGAACCGAGTATCGAATATCAAAATATTGATCGAGTATTCAGTTTCCTGTTAAAATGTAGTTGTTTTATTTTAATGAAATGATTTTATATTGAGAGCGTATCTAGGAAATATAAATAGTAATCTTTGATTAATCAAAATTAAAAACATGTCGAATGTTTTCGCTGAATTGTTAAAAACAATCTGTCGTAAAACGGTGGGCTATGCACGAGAGCAGCTTTCCTAGCTAACACTTTTGGCTAAACGCATCTTAGCCATTCCACCACATCTGTACCGTCCGAGCAAATGTTTTCGCCTGCAGAACTGTTTGCAATATGTTGTACTTAACAAAGTTAGGCACCGACTCTGTCAAAAATAGTTGACAAGATAATATTTCTAAATAAAAGCAAAGTCGTTCTTCTCAGAGAATGATTAAATGCATTTAAGGGTAAGTTCTCAAAACCCCTTTGTCAAACATTAATGTGTTTTCTTCACGATTACAAGATACTGTTGTTTGATCTGGTTAGACTTTGTTATCATTTTTTCCAATAGGAGGTAACTTAATAATTGATTAGATTATTGTTTACATGATTAGCACATGTAGTAAATGAGGTATTGATAATGATATCAAAATTCCAGTGATTATTATATACACCACGATAATAATGTTGAGGGTTTAAAGTCCATTAAACAACGACTCACAATACGTAAAATGTATATAATTTTGTTTTTCCATTTTGATGATATTTTTTCGAGCGAGTACTCAAGTATCGCTCGGTAAAACCATCGAGTACTCGATAAGTAATTTACAGGGTTAATTTATAAGAGAGATCAGTTAATGTAAGATGTCGGTGTTTTTATAAATACATGCCATTTTTTGGCGTGGTGTTACAAAAATATAAATCTTTTGGGGCTTTCTTTTTTATATATATAAAAATTAGAAGATGTAATATGATTGCCAATGAGACAGCTCTCCATTAGAAATTTAAATGACAAAGAAATTAACAACTATAGGTCACCGTCCGACCATCAACAATGAGCAAACCCATATCACATAGTGAGCTATATAAAGCCCAGAAAGGACATCAAAATAGGAAACTAACTACCTGATTTATGTTCAAAACAATAAACGACAAATTATGATCTACAGCAACAAACGTTAACCATTCCATTACAGGCTCCTGATTTGGGACAGCCACATATAGCGGCGGGGTTAAACAAGTTTGCGGGCGCCAAACCCTCCCCTAACCTGGGACGGGGGTGTAACAGTACAACATAAGAACAATCTAAAATCAGTTGAAAAGATCATAATCTATAAAAAGCACATAAAAAAACCTAACAAAAACACAAAAGACACAACGTACGAATCTGAGAGTATTCGCTGTCACTGAAAGCTAGTTAAAGGCCAATAACAACTTATAACAAATCATGTATATGAGACTTAAAAGACATAATCCCTTTAGAACTCTCATATGTTTTACTCGACAGTATCTTAATATGCTCTGCTATTTTTGTGTTAGCCACATGATCAGCACAATAAGGATAATAACAGAAATACTATTGTTTCTTACCTGAACATAAAATGAGGTTAACGAAGCTCGTAAGACAGACAACTTAAAGTACTGACAATCTTTACTGAAATAAACAATTTATTAAACTTTTCTGTTGCTCTGTTGTTCATATTTCAGTGTATTCATCAGTTCAGTTTAAAAGACATTAAATCAAGTTTATTTTGATATTCTAAATGATTGTTCGTTGTGTATTCTCAGGTTGCAAATCAATTGGCGAAGGTGCAAATGAAACAAAAAACATACACGTACATACCTAATTACAATTTACAGTAACTGTTCAAATAAATAGAATATGTTATATTATTTTTATCTATCAAATAAAAAGATTGGGTTGACCTGATTATTTCTTAAGGTTTAATGAATCTTACAACATTTGTGTATTATCAGCAAATATAAATTATTATTAATTGATTTATTTC